GGGACGGGAGATTTTGAAGCTTGGTGAAGTCCACATTGATACCATTGGGCTGCAGGGTTCCCAAGTGGAATATGAGTTGCTGTTCCTGCAACCTTCGGGTGGCATCGTTGTGGCACTGCAGGAGGCCCAGGATGGACATGTTGTCTGAGGAATGGGAGGGGGAGTTGAAATGGTTCGTGACTGGGAGGTGCAGTTGTTTATTGCGAACCGAGCGTAGGTGCTCCGCAAAGCAGTCCCCAAGCCTCCGCTTGGTTTCCCCGATGTAGAGGAGGCCACAACAGGAGCAACGGATACAGTATACCACATTAGCAGATGTGCAGGTGAACATCTGCTTGATGTGGAAAGTCTTCTTGGGGCCTGGGATGGGGTTGAGGGGGGTAGGTATGGGGGCAGGTGTAGCACTTCCTGCAGTTGCAGGGAAAAGTGCCGGGTGTGGTGGGGCTGGAGGGGAGTGTGGAGCAGACAAGGGAGTCACGGAGAGAGTGGTCCCTCTGGAAAGTACAGAGGCGGTGGAAAACCTGTTCAACGTCCAAGCGTGAGCGGTGAAGTTTTTTCCTCCGCCGCCACCGTGCTTACTTCTTTAACCGTGAGCCTAACCCTCCCCCTTCACCCGCCTCCAACACACCTCCTCCTCCTGGACACCACCCCAAGGCCTCCTACCCGCCCTCGACCTCTTCATCTCCAACTGCCGTGGAGACATCAATCGCCTCAACCTCTCCAACCCTCTCACCCACTCCAACCTCTCCCCCACAGAACGTGCAGCCCTCTGCTCCCTCCACTCCAATCCCAATCTCACCATAAAACCCGCGGACAAGGGAGGCGTAGTTGTAGTATGGCTACAACTCTCTGACACCACCACCCACCGCCCCCTTGATCATGACCCCACCCCCGATCACCAAACCATCATCTCCCAAACCACCCACAACCTCGTCACCTCAGGTGACCTCCCACCCGCAGACTCCAACCTCATCGTTCCCCAACCCCGCACCGCCCGCTTCTATCTCCTTCCCAAAATCCACAAACCTGACTGCCCTGGTCGACCCATTGTCTCCGCCTGCTCCTGCCCCACCGAACTTTTCTCCACCTATCTGGACTCCATTTTCTCCCCCTTGGTCCAGGAACTCCCTACCTATGTCCGTGACACCACCCACGCCCTCCACCTCCTCCAAAACTTCCAATTCCCTGGTCCCCAACACCTCATCTTTACCATGGATGTCCAGTCCCTATACACCTGCATCCCCCATACAGATGGCCTAAAGGCCCTCCGCTTCTTCCTGTTCCGCAGGCCCGACCAGTCCCCCTCCACTGACACCCTCATCTGCTTAGCCAAACTCATCCTCGCCCTCAACAACTTCTCTTTCAATTCCTCCCACTTCCTACAGACAAAGGGCGTGGCCATGGGTACTCGCATGGGCCCAAGCTACGCCTGCCTCTTTGTAGGTTACGTGGAACAATCCCTCATCCGTAGCTACACTGGCCCTAAACCCCACCTCTTCCTCCGTTACATTGATGACTGTATCGGCGCCGCCTTGTGCTCCCACGAGGAGCTCGAACAGTTCATCCACTTCACCAACACCTTCCACCCCAACCTTAAGTTCACCTGGACCATCTCTGATACCTCTCTGGACCTCTCTGTTTCCATCTCTGGCAACCACCTGGAAACCGATATCCATTTCAAGCCCACCGACTCCCACAGCTACCTGGAATACACCTCCTCCCACCCACTTTCTTGCAAAAATGCCATTCCCTATTGCAGATTCCTTCGCCTCCACCGCATCTGCTCCCAGGATGAGGCATTCCACTCCCGAACATCAAGGACCGCAACTTGCCCCCTTCAGTGGTCGAGAACGCCCTCGACCGTGTCTCCCGCATTTCCCGCAACTCATCCCTCACACCCCTCCCTGCAATAACAACCAAAACAGAATCCCCCTCATCGTCATGTACCACCCCACCAATCTCTGGATCCAACGCATCTTCCTCCGACACTTCCGCCATCTGCAATCTGACCCCACCACCAAAGACATCTTTCCCTCCCCACCCTTATCTGCTTTCCGGAGGGACCAGTCTCTCCGGGACTCTCTGGTCCGCTCCACACTGCCCTCCAGCCCCACCACACCTGGCACTTTTCCCTGCAACTGCAGGAAGTGCTACACCTGCCCCTACACCTCCCCCCTCAACCCTATCCCAGGCCCCAAGAAGACTTTCCACATCAAGCAGATGTTCACCTGCACATCTGCTAATGTGGTATACTGTATCCGCTGTTCCCGTTGTGGCCTCCTCTACATTGGGGAAACCAAGCGGAGGCTTGGGGACTGCTTTGCGGAGCACCTACGCTCGGTTCGCACTAAACAACTGCACCTCCCAGTCACGAACCATTTCAACTCCCCCTCCCATTCCTCAGACGACATGTCCATCCTGGGCCTCCTGCAGTGCCACAACGATGCCACCCGAAGGTTGCAGGAACAGCACCTCATATTCCGCTTGGGAACCCTGCAGCCCAATGGAATCAATGTGGACTTCAAGCTTCAAAATCTCCCCTCCCCCAACCGCATCCCAAAACCAGCCCAGCTTGTCCCCGCCTCCCTAACCTGTCCTTCCTCCCACCTATTCCCTCCTCGCACCTCAAGCCCCACCCCCATCTCCTACCGACTAACCTCATCCTGCCCCTTGACCTGTCGGTCCTCTCTGGACTGACCTATTCCCTCCCTAACTCGCCACCTACACTCACCTTTACTGGCTCCATCCCCGCCTCTTTGACCTGTCTGTTTCCTCTCCACCTATCTTCTCCTTTATCCATCTTCTATCCGCCTCCCCCTCTCTCCCTATTTATTTCAGAATCCCCTTCCCCTCCCCCATTTCTGAAGAAGGGTCTCGGCCCAAAACGTCAGCTTTCCTGCTCCTCTGCTGCTTGGCCTGCTGTGTTCATCCAGCTATACACCTTGTTATTTCAGATTCTCCAGCATCTGCAGTTCCTACTATCTCTATGCATCCAGAAAGGTTGCTTTGTATGGTGCATCTAAAGAAATTGGTAAGAGTCATTGTGGACATGCTGAATTTCCTTAGCCTTCTGAAGACGTAGAAGCATTGGTGTACTTTCTTGACTGTAGCTTTGTGGATCACTCACTTTAGATCGTTGGTGTTATTTACTCCTAGGAAAGTTGAAGCTGTCAACCACCTGCACCTCATCACCATTGATACAGACAGGGGCGTGTCCTTCACTTGCTTCCTTAAGTCAATGACCAGCTCTTTTTGTTTTCCTGATAATGAGAGAGAGAGTTGTCCTCATACTATGCGACTAAGCTGTCTATTTCCTTCCTATACTCTCTCATTTGAGACTCGACCCACCAGGGTGATGTCATTAGCAAATCTCTAGGTGGAGTTTGAGTTGAATCTGGCCACAGTAGTGAGTGTGTAAGGAGTATATTAAGGGGATGAGTACATAGCCTTGCAGGGCAGCGGTGTTGAGAAGATTATTGTGGAGGTGGTGTTGTCAGCTACCCTTACTGATTACGGTCAGCGGGTTAGGTGTTTCCTCTGACATGATGTTTTATTGTTCTGAATGTCTATAATCTGTGACAGTGAATTGTGAGAAAGAACTGGTATTTTGAAAACTTTTTCTCCCGTATCAGCTCATTTCAAGTACGTAAGCTCCATGTTCCAAGTGTAATCACTTGATAGATGGCTGAAGTTGATAATGATTTTGCAAGAGTAAGGTACCACAAATAGCGTTGAGATTATAGACTAGCTGGCAACTAAATTGACTCTGATTGAAGAATTTCACTAGGAATTCTTGGTTTAATATATCATCCATGAGTACTGTTCTGAAGCTTCAGACTAAGTTATGTGGCCATGTGTTGGAGTGGGACCTGAATCCACAGTCATTCTAACACAGCTGTTTAGTACTTGTGAAACCAGGGCAATCATACTTAGAATGAGATAGTGAGAACTGCCGACGCTGGGGTCAGTTAACGTGGTGAGGAGCTGGATGAACACAGCAGGCCAGGCAGCATCAGAGGAGCAGGAAAGCTGACATTTTAGGTCGGGACCCTTCAGAAATGGCGGAGGGGGAAGAGCGCTCTGAAATAAATAGAGGGGTGGGGCTAGGGTATGTCGATGAGTGCAGTTATGTAGTGCTGGGGGTTGGTCAATGAAGTGGAAGGAGCAGATAGGTAGGAGAGAAGATGGGACAGGTTGTGTCAGGTCAAGGAGGTAGGGATGAGTGGGAGGGTTTGGTCATGGGGTGAGGCTGGGGGGTTGGGGAGATTTTGAAACTAGTAAAGTCCACATTGAGACCATTGGGTTGTAAGCTCCCAAGGCGGAGTATGAGGTGCTGCTCCTCCAGTTTCTGGGTGGTGGTGTTGTGACACTGGAGGAGGCCCAGGATCGACACGTCACCCAGGGAATGGGAGGGGGAGTTGAAGTGGTTCCCGACTAGAAGGTGTTGTTTGTCGCGAACAGAGCGCAGGTGCTCTACAAAACAGTCTCAGTGCCTCCACTTGGTCTCACTGATGTAAAGAAGGCCACATCGGGAGCAGCGGATGCAGTAGACTTCGAATGGCTTTGTATTCTTCATCCTGGATTGACAGTCTGCATTGTTCACTTAGTTGCCTTATTCAGTTCTCAATGCAAAGGTTACAAGAAGAAGATTTAAAAGTCTAAGTCACTGAAAGAGTTGTGCAAGGAAACTGGGGTCATCTGAAAAGAACAAATCCAAATTCAATCCTTTTTGCTATAAAATAACTCCTTAGAGTTTGATAATCCTCACTTACATTGCTAGAAATTCGTCTTTCTAATGTAGATCTCAAACCAATGCAAGTATACAAGAGTGTGTTTAACTTTGTCTGTTTTCAGGGTCCATAAAGTGTAATTGAAAAGCAGAATACTGCAAATGCATTAAATCGGAAATAAAACCAGAAAATGTTTAAAATATTCAGCAAAGCCAACAAAAATTTGGGGAGAGAAACTGTTAACATTTCAAATCAATTGTCTTTCATCAGAATGAGGCCATTGACTTAAAATTTTAACACTGTTTCTCTCTCCACAGATTCTACCTGACCTACTGAGTGTTTCCAGCATGTTATGTTTTTATTTTTATAATTTGGTTTTCATGATATTTTATACATTGCTTTGACAGTATTGCCGGAAGTTTGGTGTACTCTTACATTACGTTCACAGAGGAGCAGTCAGTCAAGACACCAGGAAATGGCGGCAGTGTGGACATCAAGGGAAAAGTAGCTGTATGAACAGAAAAGATTGCCGGAGATATTTAGTTTTTGTGTTCTATTGATTTGTCTTTTTATATTAAAAAAAATGGTGTTATAAATCTGTGATCGTCTATCAAAGAAATTGTACGTGATCTTGCAGTTTTGGTACATTGATATTCACAGGATCAAAAAAATTATTAAAGCATTAAAAGCCCCTCTTTTACTAAAGCATTAGAGTATTTGAAGGCATTGCCACTAGTTGCTCTTCACCTCCAATCTAAAACTTAAAAACAGTCCCAACTCACAATTTAAAACATTGATTAAAAAATTATGTGGTGTGCCTCTAAAAAGTGTACCATGTGCAAATCCAAGACTTGGTTACTGTACTTTCTGGTAACCACCTTCATGAGCTTCTCTGCTCACCAGTTCTTAGCATCTTTTTGATTCCTCCAGCCACAAACATAAATTGTAAACCAGGGATTTCATGTGGAGCAGTGAATACTGAATTTTAGTCTGCTTTTGGTCCTCTAGCGTTAGGTAAATTACGTGTTAATTAGTTTTTTTTACAGAAAACTACGCAAAGTGTGCTCCTTTGAATAGGAACACATTCAATGGTTCTACATTTTCCAGTTTCTCATTGCAAAAATGAGTCTAGGGAGTAAGAATATTGAAGCAAATCTGCCATTTCAGTATAATGTTTACATGCATGCAAAGGAATACATTAAATGATTTTTACTTTGTGAAGAATTACCAGTACCAATATCCCATTAATCATGAAGTTATTGATGTATTTTTACGTGGGCTGTTAAATGACAATTCATAATTGAAAATTATACTGAACTGAGGGAAGTAGATGCAAAACTTGAGATTTTGTAATTGAGTTGAATGTTAAAAGCTTATCATTGTATAAATATGAATCATTTCAAGTTTTCCAACTGTTAATGGTTCATGTGTTGTTGGTTCTGTGGAGCCATTTAAAATAGTTGTGTTAAACAGGTTTCAAGAATTTGGTGACTTTTTTTAAAACTTGAAGATTACAAACCTGGTTCAGAGTAAAAATGATAGGGCAGGTGAGAATCATTCAACATCTATCTATCTTTCAGTTCTCTACTTTTGTAGATCTATTTAATATATTAACTTAATAAACACTTTGGTCTAAATCCAGATGTACCAGAATGTATGGTAGTTGTTCTGCCATCCAGCAACTCGTCAGATCTGTATGTGTTGTGCTGGTGATGAGCTAATTTCTTTCTTTGTATATAGTGTATGTGAAGTGTAAAATTGAGGGCTGCAATGAATTATAATATACTTAAGTGCACATGTGCACTGCTTTAATGATTTTCCCAAAATATTAGTTTTCTGAAATGTGTTCTGGCAGAATAGGTCACCCCGTGATATTTGTTAATTGTAATTTTGTGAATGCAGTTGTGAGTGAAATTGATGAACATACATATTTACAGGTTAAGTAGGTCCTATGGACTTAAGAATCTGCACTGCCCAGACATTATGACGACTCCAGTGACAATGTGGCAACATTTGCTTTTGTGCAGCACTAAATGTGCATATGAATTAGTACAAGAAAACTCCTTGTAGAGCTTTCTTGGAGTCTGCCAAGATGTTACTTATTTAGTGGCTGGTTTCAGAAATGCTGCTTTTAGTACTTAAAATCAGATGCTGGTCTTGGTGATCTGTAAACAAGTTGCATAGTTCAATGTTGTAAACACTGAAGTGCCTAGATATTGGTTAGAGCTGACTTACGAACACTTTTAATATGTGCATTTAACCCATCCGAACTTAGATGCATTTTTAGTTCTGATTTGTAATTATTTTATAATTTAGTAACAAAGTGGGTTAGAAATAGGTTTGCTATTGCGTGTTCTAATGATTCTACTTTTTTTGTCATTTTAAATTTGCTTGACAGGTATATTTTGTAGTACAGTTTTAATGGCTATGATTTGGGTAACAGTTGAAGCCTTTTGAGAACTTCAGCATTTTACATTCTGTAGCTATTATCATATGAATACAGATGGACAAAAAAAATCCACTCCCATAATTTAAACTTCATTAGTGATATTTTTTCATTAAAATTCACAAAATAACCAAGATTAATTTTGAAATGTAGCAATACTTATTTCAAATTTTGTGGGATGAGAATTAATTTTATTTTCTCAAATGTGGAGATGTGGGCAAAACTGGTGCCCTTGGAGAAAAGCGATGTGTATCTTTTAGATGACAGTGCATAATTATGTAGAAGTTAATTTTAAATTCAACTGCACCAGTAGTTGACTAGAATCACTTTGGTCTTTTTACAAGACTTTTATCCAACCCAGAGATAGTAAGAACTGCCGCTGCTGAAGTCTGAGATAAGTGTGGAGGTGGAGGAACACAGCAGGCCAGGCAGCATCAGAGGAACAGGAAAGTTGAAAAGGGAAGGGAGCTGGGAAATAAATAGAGGAGGGGTGGGCCTGAGGAAGGTGATAGGTGAGTGCAGGTAGAGTGTGGTGGGGCAGATAGGTGGGAGAAAAGATGGACAGGCTGTGGCAGGGATGAGGCTGAGGGTAGAGAGTTTAAAACTGGTGAATTCCATATTTAGGCCATTGGGCCTGTAGGTTCCTAAGGCGGAATGTGAGGTGTTGCTCCTGCAGTTTGCAGGTGGGCTCACTGTGACACTGGCCCTCCTCCATATACCTGCCCCATCCAACCCAGTGGTGTTCATGAATTTCAATAAAATTGAAACTTTGTTTCGTTCTGTGACTAAAGGTTCTGGTTCATCAGCATAAAAAAAAATTAGTTGTTATTTGTACTATTTTAGCTGTTGGGACTATAATTAGATCATTGCCTGCGAAAGATGAGTCTGCCTAAGAACAAGTACCATTGGTTTGTTGTCAGCAGCCAAATCTCTAATAGAGAGACGTAAAGCTCTGAAGAAAGAATGATTTTTTTTTAAAGCCAAATTCATTTTGCTATAATTTAAACCTTTTTAAATTTCTGATGTAAACACAAGGTCACAGAATCTTTGCCATCTTTAAGTTTTAAAAGTTCCCAACTTGGCATTGGTGAGAATGAACTAATCTAGGACATGAGGGGTTTAGGATAAATAATTAAGCTTGATGCATTTGACAGATTTAACATTTTGTTGTAAACTTCCTAGGATTAGAAATGGAGGGAATAACTTCAGTTTATTTTTTGTGATGCAAATTTTAATATTTGCAACAAGTACTGCTGATTAAGTGCTGCCAACAAATGCAATAAAGCTTTTTTAATATTCAGACAGGCTGAAAGTTTTAAAATTATTCACATAGTTCAAATGCCCTCTTTGCAAGCTATAAAACTGATTTAATATAGCATACCATAATGATTTACCATCAGTATTAAAGATGTACTGCAAATATTTTTAATTAAATTGCATGCTCTTGATATATTTCAGTATCAGAATCCATTCTTTAGCACCCAAGACTTTTATGGTCACTTCTTAAGGTTTAAGCCTAGTAATCATGAATTTATTGGAGTGTTATAAGCATTGTTGCTGTTTACAGGATTTTAGTAATTTGTGGATCTGTCAATAAATCAAATATCCCATTAGTTTACACTAGATATACATGTTTTTCTTTTTACAAAGCAGTGTACTAACTACCGCATTATTTAACTGCCACTTTATTGAAAGTGATCAATGCACAGGTTAAGTGCTAGTATAAGGATGTGGTAGAAATGGTGATTTATAATGGATTATTTTGTAATGCAGAGAAACTACAAAATGTTTCAGAATGATGTATTCTTCTAATGCTAAATTTTTATCCAAAAATATTAAAATGAACCTGAAAGGCAATTATGTGTAAAAGTGCAGAATTTCAAAAAATATTGTGCAATTTTCTTGACTAATCACCAGTTGATGGATCTTTTTATATTTCTATCAAAATAAATTTCTTGCAACCAGCCTGAATACCTTTTTGATAACTATTAGCAACACAAATCTAACTCATTTTGGTCATTATTTATACTAGTCTAAAATTAGGCTAATAATGCTGAAATTGCATATTCTATGCATTATATACAGACAGAAGTAAATGGTCTCACCTGTATTATGTTAAAACTTGTCACTATCTTTACATATGCCATTTCTCCTAACTTAAGCTTGGGGAATTATGAGGGTTGATGGCATTGTGGTAATGTTAGTGGACTTGGAAATTAGTAAACCTAGAATTAAAAGCTTGCCTAAATGGTGGTGAACCTTAAAATAAAGAATTGTTCTTTTTTTAGGAAAGAAAATCTGCTGTCCTTATCTAGTTTGGCCTAAATGTGACTTTCAAAATGGCTTCTGTGTTGCTGTTCTTCTCCCAATCCATTTTTCTGAGGGATAGAAGAGGGAAACATGTTGGAACATTTTAAAAAGAACATTACACTGGATCTCCAGCTCCATTTCAAATTGAGTCTGGATCTTGAATGGGAATGAAAGTTAAAAGTCAAATGCTGAGAGGGTGGGGTGGTGCTGGGCAAGGCCAAAAGTCTATAGATCAGGATTGCTGGTGAGGGGGAGGTATCTGCATTATAGGTTAAAGTTTTCTTGGAGGCCCTACTCCTAAATTGCATATTTGCTTTGCCATTCAATATGAGCATGACAATCTCAATTCCCACTTTCTACCCCATATCCTTCTGATCTGTTTATCTCCAGGAAACAGATCTAACTCATTCTTGAAAACACTCTGTTCAGGCCTTGACTGTTCTATTGAAAAGAGTGCCACAGTTTGCCACTCTGGGTGAAGAAGTTTCTTCTCATCAGTCCTAAACAGCCTATATCCTAAAAACTGATTCTGAATTCCCCAGTCATCAGTAACATTCTCCTGTGTATACCCTTATCAGCAGTGCAGCCTCCAATGAAGCGCTGTTGTTTTCCCACCTCATTTGCGGTTTTCCTTTGCAGTGGTGTATATACACCGTCTAGTTCTATGTATTTGATGGTCACATCACTGCGAAGGAATGGAATGTGTGTGTCTCACACCAACTAGCAACAAAAAGACACGAACAATACTCACTCATCTCCATGCACCCAGATAAAGAGAACCACCAGTTCAATTGGGACAACACCAGGATCTTAGGACAGGCCAAACAGACGAGCATAGGAACTCCTAGAGGCCTGGTTCTCCACCAAGAAGGCCATCAACAAACACAGAACTAGACCTAGATATTCACCACGCCGAAGGAGAACCGGAAATGAGGTAATCAAATCCAACAGACCCCAGAGTTAATACCAGGCAGGAAAACACAGCAGACACTTCAGAGGCCATACTGATAATGTTACCCAGTAGGGTAATGAAACGGCTGCAAACTAACGAACCACCTTGATGAGCGAACCAATCACAGCGTCCACAACCCGGGCTACAGCTCTACTTGAACCTTGTGCCATGTTTGAACAGGGGCGTTGACTGATTTAAAAAATTTCCTTGGTCAAACTGGGATAAGCCGCCCTCATGAAAACTTGATACATCCTTCAATCAAACACTGACATTAATTCACAACAAAGCAATATTTGAGTATATGTCATCTGGGAACCCTAGTAAAACTAAAGCCATTGGGAATGGCAAGAGAATTGAGTTGACTAGGGTCCAAGTACAAGGTAATTGTTGTAGGCTAATCATTTCAGCCCAAGGACTTCTGTTCAGGGTAGCATCCTAGGCACAAATAATTTTGTTTAGAATTGAGGAATGGTTATTTAATGTCAAAAGTGTTGGTGTTATTATTTAACTAAAAAGTTGACCAGGTTAGTAACCGAAGTATTTGTGAGACAAGAACAGGTGGCAGCTTTGAATTCAACACAAAAAGACGTGAATCCTCAAACTTTATCTTTGAAAAAAGATCGAAGCATGATGGTCAACTCCCCACTTTAAATCAGTTTATCTCTTACGAGAACAAAGCAGCTTTCACCATTTGAGGCACCTCAATGTGCATCATCAAGATAAACTACAGCAACTTACAAAGACTTCTTTTAGAGCACTTTTTAAAAACATTACAGTACCTCTGATTAAATCGGTTGCTGTCTCAGTTGCTCTTTGCAAGGCAGCCTAGAATGTAAAATAAATCCATGATGGCCACTGCTAGGATATTGCAGATTCAGCTGTATTTCCGTACACTGGTGTCTAACTGGCTACAAAGCACAATGGAACGTAAAGTTGTTAAAAGATAAATGCAACACTTGTAATTTTCCAGATCGTTATTCTTGGATTGAGATTTCATTTATTACACCGCTAAATTTAAAATAGAGTAAACTTAATAGGAATCCTGAGAAAAAAAAACTTATTTTTTAATGAAAAATATCACAGGTTTTTGCACAATTTAATTTTAACATGCATAATCAACATGTAGATAACTCTTATCAAAAATAAAGAAAATGCAGCATGTAATCAGAACTGTGACTCAGCAACACTGAGGGACAAAGTTTTATATTCAAGCTGAAATTTATGCTGCACTAATAGAATAGCATACAAAAAGCTTCAATCAATTACAGTCTTGTAAAAACTGTGACCCTGAAAATTCTTCACAGTCCCAGACAGTGTAAAACCACTACCTCTTAAATATTTAAACATTCCATCATTTTAATAATTTAAAACTTTACCAAAATGGAATGAGTCAGACAATTAGATTCTTGGTATATTTATTATCTTTCCCTCCACAATAAAGCTTAGCAACTGTACAAATTAGGGAACTGTACAAGTTTTACAGAAAGGACTGCAAGAAAACTTGAGCACTTATTCAAAAATTTCTCTCGTATGTAAAAATCTGGCAAAAATATAGAATGTATTGAGTCCAGACAGTCAGAAATTACATATATTAATATATATTAATATATAGATATATAAAAAGACATCACTGATGTCAATGACCAAATTTATACAAACCAACCCAATTATTAATCAGGTATTTTTTAAAAAAAAAAAGTCAGACCAAGATTGGGTTATTACACACTCTTTAGATTTGTTGAGCTTCTAATTCAATAGATATTTGGTGCCTAGATGGATCAGACAGAACAGACAAGTTCTCAGGGTCTTCAGATTTGAGGTTTTGTTCTGAAATGTTTATACTGTTCATTTCACTTCCAGAGTCATGATCGATTTTTAGTCTCTTAGTTGGTCTTTCACAACTTGATTCAGACTCATCATTTTCATTCGGTACATCTATCAGTTTGACATTGTACAAATCATCTTTCTCACAGCCATTTGTGTTCAATTTGGCATGACCAGAAGCTGCAGAATTATTGATGGATCCGTTGCAGTTCAATCCCTTGACTTCACCATAATCATGCCACTGATCTGATGTTTCGACTGGACCATTAGTATTTGTCCCTGCATCGGATACAACAAAAACATTTCAGTTGGCTCTTTATTCTATTACCTGCAAATATTTTTAAATAACTGCTTTAATATTACCTCATTCAAATTTTTCTTTACAGATTATCAAATACAAAACATGAAAAACTTAAGCTGTCTGATGCACTCAGCTAGTAAACGGTTTAGCGCAAGGAGGATGTAAAGAGATAACTAGAGTCTAACTAGACTGGATGTAACTTTGGTACCGTCGGAATTTGATAGCCACCTACCACGCAGTCTACTTCCAGCCTTACTTTAGGTTCGTCTGCTCCTGAAATTATCCATCCTTCTAGACTTGCCCATTCCAATATCCTCTGATTGTTCCACCATCTTTTAATCCTGTCAGCTTGAACACCTCTAAACTTCTGCATGTGTCCTATTTCACACCAGGTTATTTTTCACTTCAGACCATTGCTTGCTAGTCTATTTTTGTTGCCAGCATACATATGGTTCAGAATTCTCATCTGGATTCCAACCCATCCATGGTGTGGACTCTTCCCATTTCTATAAACTCCTCCGATTTCTGCAATCCTTCAATTTTGGCCTATCATGCATTCAAAATTTAACTGTGTCACCATTGGTAGCTGCGCCTATGGCTATGGAGTTCTCAGTGTAAACCTAATGTGTGCTGCTTTAAGATACTCATTAAAGCAGCAACTCTTCCAGTATTATCACATTTAATGTTGGTGCAATAATGCTCCAGTGAAGCATTAAATATTTTCTGTGTAAACATTGCTATGTAAATGCAAGATTGTTATTATGGAGAGAAGACACCCACAGACATCCTACCTACAAGTCTATTTACACTAACTGCCCACAATAGACATGAACATTCACATTTGTACACTAAATTATTTTCTCCTAGTTCTTACTTCCTCCAGAAACATGCCACATTTGGGGGGGGTGTTTGTGAACAAAGGAATAGCATTCTAAACCTACTAAGATTCAAATCTGCCTGCATTACACCCAAATGATGAACTGTTCCAAGAGACTAATTACTAATATATTTGTAAATACATGCTATACTAAATAGTTTAATTCAAAGTTGTTACAGTGAGATTGTTTGACTCAAGTCCATGTCAGTCTCAGGACTTATTTTTCATAAACAAGGTTAGTGAGCTTTTACCAGCTTTCTAGTTAGAAGCTTTGATAATGAGTATTTATCTTAAGTAAAATCTTTAAGAACAAATGTGAGTATTTTGAGTACTCGCTGCTTTTATTTTGGATTTATGATTCTATACTCTAGAATCCAACTTTTACAGTAAATTTTATTTCTAAATATTAACCTGTAAATAAATTCAATTTTTCCTCACAAACCATTTGTCATTTTGATGTATAAAAGGTAGTCAGAAACAATCAATTTATATCCAAATTAATGTGCATTAATTGATTAAAATGAGGTTCAGGAACACGCTGTAGCTAGTTCTGTATGCCTAAATTCTGAAGATGACACTTCAACCCAAGTATT